CTGGGACCTTCCTTGGTCCTTGCACGGTTTGGCCAGGCCCGGCTGGTAGCCTAGTATAATGTTACTGATTTATGCAAGAGGTATTAACTAAAACCCCCAGTCCCATTCCCACCGAAGCGTGGATAGCAAATCCCAAGTCCCATTCCCACCTAAGCGTGGATAGCGAAGTCGTTCTACAAGCTCCGTGATAGGGGCTCGGGGGAGAATGAGTCTCGGGTGTATCCTTCTTCGGTATACTTTTCCCATTCCCACCTAAGCGTGGATAGCAAATCCTAAGTCCCATTCCCACCTAAGCGAGGATAGCAAATCCCAAGTCCCATTCCCACCGAAGCGTGGATAGCAAATCCCAAGTCCCATTCCAACCTAAGCGTGGGATAGCAAATCCCAAGTCCTCTTCCCTCCTAAGCATGTATGGATTTGTGCTGCAACGTGTTTCCCTGGTGTTCTCAAATAATGCCAGCATGCGATCTGACTTTTTTTTTTTTTTTTTTTTTTTTTTGACCTTGCCTCTCCGGTGGTGCCATCTACGGTAGTCGTGTGGATCAGATGCTCTGCAGTGAAGGATCGGGTACAGTCTTGAGGGCCCTGGGAAGAGGACCCACGGGCCCTCCGGTGGTGGTTGTGAACTCTGGAGGACCCGTGGGCCCCATCTTCTCAGACTGACCAACTGATGCCAGTCGTTTGTGTACTATGGCGATCGCCATTCCCACGCCCGTCATTTGTCTCTGTACCTACTGGGACCTTATTGGGATGCTGCTGCAATGACACATCCATAGAGAACATGGAACCATATCGTGCGTGCTATGTCTTCAGTTTGTATCATCCGACCCACCTTGTATCGCCTGACCCACTACCATCTACGATGTCCCACTCTAGATGGTAGTGGATCAGACGTCATTAGATTCACTACCATCTTATCCACTACCGCCTTGTCCACTTGCATCAGGTCCATTGGCATCTGATAGACTAACATCTGAACATTCGCCAATCCGGATTCTCTGCTGCTGTGCTATCAGACAATTGTGAACTGATGTCATATGCCAAAGGGAGTAGGAATGAATGACATGACCCACCAGGTCATCAAGGGCTGCAACAATTTGTTCCGAGAGACCTTGGAGGAAGTTGTGTTAAGTAGTTACTCAGCTGCTCTGTCTGGTTGGGGAAGATGGGGTATGTGGATGGTGGTGGGGGAAATTAGGCTCCTGTTACATGGGTATTCATGCATACGAGGGATCGCATACTGACGTGGACAATTGAATAGGCACAGACTGTCCATCACTTGCATGTTTCCCAGGTTGTGTTCATCACATTTTGATGTGTTTTCTGTATCTTTTGCCGTCGTTATTGCTTTGTGCAACAAGCAAGCTGAGAAATGAATTAATGACTTCGTCAAGGAGTGAATGACTGAATGCAAACGAATGAGCAAACTGGTGAATAAACGAATGGATGGGAGAGAGGAAGGGGGAGGTGGAAGTGTTGGAGAGGAGTGGAGAGAGGGAGGGAGGGAGGGAAGTAGAGATGGAGGGATGGAAAGAGGGAGGGAGGGAGGGAGAGGGATGGATAGATGGATGGAGGAAGCAGGAAAGGGAGGGAAAGAGAGTCAACGGAAATGAGGGAAAGAGGAAAATAAGGGGATGGAAATGGAGAGAGAGAGGGGCGGAGAAGGCGATGAATGGGGGAAAGGAAGAGAAGAGGTGGAAGGTAAGGGAGGAACGAGGGGAGAGAGGGAGGGATGAAAAGGAAGGGAGGAGAGGCTAGGAGGGGAAGTAGGGAGAGGCTTGGGCCCTGCCAAATGTGATTTCATGTATGGCCGTTTGCCCAACCAAACCGCGTCCAGTCTGAACGGACGGGGCAGGATCTGGGGCAACAAACGGTCTGTCCAGACTCTCCAACACTGGCACAGTCTGGCAGACCGCCACTCTCACAGGTGGAATTTTTCAGGGCAGGCTTTCTGCTCTCACGACATGTTCAGGGAGAAAGCCGTCTCGGGCCCAGCTCGTAGCCCTTGCCAGCATCTTGTGTGCGGTGAGTCCATGTGCATGTGTTGCTGCTGACCGTGTTGACAGAGGAGGCGATGATGTTGCAGACTTGCAGTGACGATTCATACCGCTGCTGACATTGAGTTTGTCGTGTGCTGATAGTCACCATGGCAGCCAGCTTGGGGGCGACATGCTGCTTTGCTGAGGGCCGGATTCCTGCAAGCAATGGGGTAGGTAGCTTCGCAACGACGACCAGCTCCACGTTGGGCGCTGTGCATCAGCGGATTGTGTGCAGCCCAGGCCGTCGATGGCAACGCTCGTCGCCATCGTCATCATGTGGTCGAGGCCCCTCCTCCTCGTCGGGTCTTTTCAGCGACGACTCACCGCGTTGTGCGTGCCGAATCAGCCTCGCGATGTCAGCGGTTCTCGCAGCCAACTGGACCCCTACTGCACACAGGCGGCGAAGAAGAACATGGACGGAAGTTAGCAGCGCTCGTAGCTTCAACTTCAACAATTGCGAGCCACGTGTTGATCGGAGAGCTGTGCCCGAGCTGCGAAAATGCATTTCTTTTGCGAAGCAGAAACAGTCGATGCACCGAGATCTATCGCAGCTGGAACCGAAGAAGAGGAATGGAGGGCAGTATCATCAACAACTGGCTAAGGAAAGGGGTGGAGTTGTGCTGATAGCTGCCAAAAAAGAGGGTGATGTGAGTGAAACAGACGGTGTGAATGGAAGCGCAAAAGGAAGACACATCGACAGAGGGACTGAGGAAGTCGATGGAAGTGGCCGATCAGGCGATTCGACGGACGCAGAGGCAGAGGGTGGCGAAGCAGAAGCAGAACGTGTGACTGTGGCAAAGAAGGGAGAAGAGGAGCCGGAGCCTGAGGCAGCGCCAGGAAGTCTCTTGGGAAGCCTCACGGGAGGACTGAACGGGGTGCAGGCCGCAATTTCAGGTAAAATGGGTGTGCAGCGCAGATCCCCGAAACTTGATCTTAACAAGATACGTCAATGCTTCAGCTACACAACCTTCTTTGCGACCGGTGCAAGGCGGTATGGAAGCGGAGGAATGTTTCCTGGAAACCTCCGAGCGCCAATAGAGGTCGCTGCACCAACTCTAGAGAAGAAGATATCGGAAGCAACAGAGTGTGAGGTCACTTTATGGTTCATGGTCGACGAGGCGACTGGTCGAGAGGTCTGTGTCGTTCAGCCCAAGGACGAGCTAGAACGCCGCCTGGCAGTGATGCGAATGGATGGCATTGCGCGCTGGCCTTTGTCCGTCCTTCTGTCGGTGGCAACCGTCTTCACAACTGCTTTCATCAGCGGAGTGACTGTGGGGCCAGATGCGTCAGCGGAGGATGTCCTCTCCAGAGCTCTGCCTCTTGCAATTGGTCTGGGAACAGTCCTGATGATAGGCGAGATTTGGCAGAGAATTGTTGCATCGAGGTATGGCGTGAAGTTGGGCCCACCATATCCAATACCCTCGGGATGGCTAGGCTCTCTGGGAATAGCGACAAAGATCGAGTCCCTGTTACCCAGCAGGACTGCGCTGTTTGACATCGGCGCTGCAAGGGCCGTTGGCTGCTGGGTCGGATCCTTCTTCCTGGCTGTTATTGCATTTACCGCGGATGGAGGCGTAAATGGAGGAAGCCACCCACTGTATGTGGAGCCATCCTTCTTTCAGCCAAATGTGCTCCTCTCCTTCATTCAGTACGTGATTGGACCTTACTACGACGAGCTGGGCAATGTTCTGCCACATGCGGTGCCGGGTGTTGGGGTGCCAGTGAACCCTCTGGCCTTTGCTGGCCTCCTTGGGCTAGTCATCACGTCGCTCAACCTCCTGCCTGCGGGGGAGCTAGAGGGCGGACGCATTGCGCAGGCCTTATTTGGTCGCCGAAGGGCGGGGGTGGCGACGATCGTTACCACGACGCTGTTGGGTTTGGGTGGCCTTGGAGGAAGTGTGCTTTGTCTTGCATGGGGTTTCATTCTACTCTTCCTACGAAATGGCCAGGAACTCCCTGCCCTTGACGAAGTCACCCCGGTTGGACGGTCGAGATACATTCTTGGGTGGATTCTTCTGGGAACGTGTTTGCTCATGCTGCTGCCAAACAGTGCCGGCACTTTCCCCAGTACTTTCTTCACACCACCCGCTTTCCTCCCAAAAGATGTTTTGTGATGCTGCTTTCTACTACGTTCCCTGTATTTATAGCTGTTTCTCCCAAAGTAATTTCTTCAGCTGCATTATCCAGTTAGCCGACAAGTGTTTTCCCTGCAGGAGTCATGTCCTTGAGAATTTGTGTGTCATGTTTCACCTACCTATCTTCCTCCCATTTCCTTGTCTACTGCGGATGTATAGGTTAGGTCCAGCCAGGTGTGTTTCCCTCTTCTTTCTTTTTTTCTTGGTTTTGAGTTTGTCAGTCTACAAGTTACTGTGATGGTTATGAGCAATTCTAATATCTCGACTTTGATTTTGTTTCAGAAAAGACAAAAGAAGCAGGGATGGTCCCCGGTTGGACCTGGGCCTCCTCCCCCAACCGGGAGCCTGCCTGTCGGACCCGGCAGTCGGCCGGCCCGGGAAACCCCCGGTCGAACCCAGCACAGCACATCACGCTCTTTTTTTTGTTTTTTGGGGGGGGGGGGGGGTTACCAGGGAGTTGCGGCCATTCCTGCAATTGCCCAGCCCCCAGGACGCTGGTCCCTAAAAAAAAATCGGGGTCTTTTGGACCCCATGTCTTAAGAAGAACGGGCAGAGGATCTCCGCCGCTGATCTGCGGAGAACCACCGCACATTTTTTTCAAGCTGCAGGGTCCATTAGGACCCATTTGATAATTTGCCGTTGTATGGTTCAACAGACCACGGACCACATATATACTTGGCCGGTCCTGATGCTCATCCACCCTGAGTTGGGAGGAATGCAGACTGCTGTTCACATGGCTTTGCTGAGCTTAAATGCTTCTGCAGCGTCCCTATGCTCTCGGGGAAAAAGTTATGGGTTTGGCTTTCAGCTGGTGCAGTCAGAGTAACAATCCTGTCAGAGGTGCAAGCCCAAGAATGGAGCTTGCTCCTCTACGTGAATCTCCACTACATGTATCTGGACAGACTGCTAGGCGAGATACTTTCGGACCGAAGACCCACCGAATGTAAAAGGCCAACAACACAGAAAACGCTCTTCCTTTAGGAGCAAGAGACCTGAACCCATAACTTTCTCGCTGTCGAGCTATACGTTTTGGCAAAGACTTTCTCTTAGCACATTTAGTTCAGCCTCTGGGGTACTGATATGTGGTGGCATACGCCATAGTAGTCTATGTTGCTGAATTGGAAATTTCGCACCACGGAGCGGTCAAATAAGTAAGCATGAATACTGACCTCTTCCCCTGAAAGCCATACCTGATCATGCCAGTAATCCCCCCCCCCCCCCCCCCCCCCCCC